TATTTGTTAATATGACTACATGGTAATAACAGCAACTCGGTGATTAAAAAGGTGCTAGTCTGCCTAGTGGCAAACGTTTTTGCTTACTGAGCAGAAGACCGTGGGTTTAGTCGCAAGCTCCTTCGCGTTATATGATCATTAGGACATCAATTCAGCTTATCGTTTACCAAAACGAACCCTGCTGCAAACCCAACCCTCTTATCCAACATCCCAGTGATTCCTCGTGGAAGTGCAGAGGTGTTCTCGGCTTCCAACAAAGCGAGTGTCATGTCAACACAATCCTTCCCATTCCTTTCTTGACCTGTGTTCGGGCGCGGCCGGCGCTGGTATTGCCTAATTTAAGATCACCAGTTTTTACACATTGAGGATGATTGCTAGTCCCAAGCATCGTCTATTGGTTCTCTGTGTATTTACAGCTGATCTGGCAGTAACAGAGTAGCAACCGTGGGCGGTCAATCAAGCTCAAGCTCAAGCTCAAGATTCTATAGATTGTTCTGTAATTTGTTATAACCCTTAAAATGCTTCCAAGTCTCAGAGCGTGACAATTATGAGTCCACGAGTCATAAGTATTATTTATTATTTTTCAAATCTGTGATCTTGAATTTTTTTCAAGTTTAGTTATGTTTTCATAAAGATTGCTATTAATCACAAATTTTGAAGAAAAGTTTCTTCGTAAATCACTTTTTTATCCTTTCAGTAAATTCTATTCAGCATTTTTTTAAAAATACGTTCAATTTCGTTTTTTGTTGAAAATTAACAACCGGGAAATTTTCAAGGTTTGAACCGAGGAAACCGGGAATTTCAAAATGAAAATTCACTGGCCACCCTGTCTTAAACAAATGTTTATGTTTTTTTTAAATGTCATGTCATTACTCTTAAAAAAAGTTCCGGGCAAGAGTGCCACACTTATGGGGCAAAACTACCATACGTCTAAAATGGAGTGGATCTATTTTATACTGTTAATTTTGCAAAATAAAAAAAAAAAAAACAATGCCATAAATGCCCAATTGTGCTAATTTCTGATTATTTTGGTATCATTTGATTCATGCTCTTGCTCCGTACAGAGATATTTTTTTGGAATTCAATTTTTGATCAATTAAAGAAAATATATAATAATTTCAGTGGCGTCGCGTCCACATGTGCAACCTGTGCAGGACACAGGTGTAAATAGTTTAAAAATGCGTTTAATTTTTTATAGATTTTCTGGTCACATTAAAGCTGTACTTCTTTACTCCAAACCACAAGTGACCATGAATACACTATTTTATAGTGTGATTCAATTAAATCTTCGACCTTGGTTTGCTTCAAAAAGGGTTAAATTCAGTTCGGATGGTCTGCCTAATCTCTAATGCATTGATTTCTAAGCATATCGATAACACTTGCATGACAAAACTCGTTAAATAGTGCACCTAAAAGCGAGCTTTTTTGGTTGGCGGGTGGCAAGTTTGTGAATGGTCAATGCCTGATGTAAGCCAAGCAGACCTTTTATCACCTCTTGAAACATACTACAAATTTTCCACAATACATGGCGGTTTGCACCACTGGTTGTAATTGAGTAATTGAAGCTTTCAGCAGTCACGCGTCAAACGGGGGCATCACGGAAACAGCAGTCTGGTACGCTTTGGACTTTATCATACTTGCAGGCCGGTTTGAATGTGTGAGTTTAAATTAGAAGAACATTTGTGATGTATGGGTGCCCAAAGTGTGCATTTCTCGCTGTGCACTTGGATATCTGATTGCAGACAAAGAGAGTAATGGAGAAAGAGAGCACAAAAGCACGCTCTCACTCTCTTGTCAGTTGTGAATCTCTCAATTGCCGATAGTTGCGCCGGTGCTAGGCGAGTAAGAGAGGTGACACAGTCGGAAGAAGTGTTAGTTTGTTTACATAAATGAACCATGCCCATTTTGTTATGGCATGTTTGCTATAAGAAATGCGCCTCGTGTTTATTAGCGAATTTCACATCAAAGATTGATTAATTGAGTAGGAAATCAGTTTGGCACGGCATTTGTGACCAGCATACACCTTCCGGTAGTATGAAACAGGTCAAAAACTGTTCAAATCCACAGATAAAAATTTTTGTTTTGAATTTCTGTATAGCAAAATAGTGAACTTTTCGTGAACATTAACGGCAAAGAACTCACCAACACTGGGAGACTGTGAGTTCCTGCCCACCTGTCATTTACCATCGTGGCGCCGGTGCGCCTGTCAAAACTTATGAGCTTTCCCTGGTTCATTCTGATAGTGTTGTTCTGATGAATAAAGAGTAGATTAATTCAAGTTTGCTACCCAGGGGACTATGAATTTTCTCTAGATTTTGACATTGTTTTGTTTCAAAAAATGTTTTCGGAAATGTTTGACGGATATTCTTTATTACACTTCAGTCGAAAGAGTTAGCCTTTTGATAAAAACGATAATTCAAGCTAAACATTGCATTAGGTCCTAAGTAACATTGACAGATTCTCTCCGTCGACTTTCTCTTTGTAGGTATTTTCAGCACACAGATCGATAAAAGAAGCTTTTATCTAGCATCTAATATGACAAACACAACAAGAAATGGTTATGTGCTCAAGTTATTAACGAAATAGAAAGTCGACGAAGAGAATGTTCAGCTGGAATTAGTTAAGTTTTGCGATTCCTCCTACTTCGGTTAGCGCGAAAAAGGCCATACAAGTTTTGTTTATACAAAATGATAGGCCCTTCAAATGTTACGTTAGGTAGTGATTAATATAGTGATGGACAATATGTCCCTCGAATTCATGGAGCATTGAAAAATAGAACGAAAACTAATATTTGGTGGTAAACTATAACGAACAAAGCTTGGTGCACAGGTAAACAAATGAGGCACGCTACGCCTCTGAATAATTTAGTGCATTAATATTTCAAACAACAATCAATAATGACGTCTCAATGCAGAAATAGTGAAATAAATAAATTTAAAATTCAGAAATCCTTACTTTATGATGTTTTATTATTATAAATTGATTTTCAATACCATAGAAACCCGTTAGTTTGAATAGAAAAAATTGCATTTAAACGATGCTCATTTAGAATTTGTTGAACTGGTAGCCCTACACTTAACTATGGCTTAACGTATATGTGTAGGGGGGTATCAGTTGAACAAATTCTAAATGAGCGCCCTGTAATTTCCAGCTATTCAAACTACGGGGTTGTACGGTACATCAAAACAAAATGATTTTTTGCATTTTTTAAGACTTCGTTTCGGACAGAACTTTCAGAATGCCTAATAGGAAAATACATGCATAGACTTCCTTAATAAAAATAACCATAAAAGAGAGCTTAACGACGTGTTCGGGGTATCATCCAAACCATTTCAGGGATAGTTTACCCATCCGGGATACAGTTCGTTTATGGTATTTGATTATTAGGGTTCTCTAACGTTTGTGAATTGCACAAGTATTAGTGCAGAACTTTGGGTAAATTCAAAGGTTTTCTTGCACTAATACTCATAAGTTACCCCAAGTTCTGAACTAATTCCTTGTGCATTTCACAAACTTCAGAGAAGTCTATAGATTTATGGTCTTAATTTTCAAATAAAAAAAATGAGGGTGGCAATCTTGCCCCGGGTGACCTTTTTGCCCCTAGTTCCCTTACCAACCTACATCGCTTACACTCAGTCCATCTAATAAATAAAACATGTCGCCAAAAGTTTTTCTTTTTGTTGGCAGCTTTCAAGGCTAAAATAGAGTATAAGCAAGTATAATCTTAAAAAAAAATCTCCACCTTCTATCGATTTCCACCGTATGAATCCAATATTCATCCTATTTGCTTTTGTCCTTTGACTCGTACAGACTATGTGTTACGAAATTTCATATTTATTACTTGATGAATAAAGCAAAAGTTATGCCTATCATGGAATAGCTTGTAATGGGTCTTTCGATGCGGCGTAGCTGCTGGAATGAAGTGGAACACTTTTCCAGGAAACCTTACACAACTTGTACCTTTGTTTACTCCAACTAGGTAGTATGGTTAATGCTACACCAAACGCGAAAACAGCACAAATGGATTCTCTTGAAGAGATGAACTTCGGCGTCTGTATAATGAGTATGAGGATTGGCAGAATTTTTTTTTTCGCTTTTCGGAGGAAGCAGTCATGTGTAAACGGAAAAACAAGACATTTCCGAACGTTTGAGTAGCGGAAGCCCGTTACGAGTTTCAGGAAGAGAGGGGATCTACTGGAATTACTTCATTCTTTGAGCAAGAGCACATAGTGCGGAGAAGGGTAAGATTGCTTTCGTGCTAACATCTAATTATCGTGTGCTTGCGCTCAAATCTGGTGCCCCCCACCTCCTTGTTTCGTCAATAAACTGAACTAGTTGTTGACCACAGGTTAACAATGGAAACCAGTGTTGCTGGAAATAATGGTACTTCTACAATTCGAACTATTTGAACCTCAAGAAATCGTGAACTGAATTCATCTGCTTAGCAAAATTAAGTTCAAAACATTTGCTCAAATGAACACCGATCCGCCTAGACAGGAATGTTTCATGCTTCAGCTTCATTTTGTTGTTCGCCAGAATTAACTACGCACGTTCTGTTTCCTCGCTCGCTCGTGCACGTGGTCGAAACGAGTATAAGAAGGCTGCCTTCTGCACGATTTTCGGAAGAAATCAAGCACATAATGAATGTGTCTCAAGGTCGTCGTCGTCGTTGTCGTACTTATTATAGGTAGGTGTGCCTTGCAAAACCGTTCCCGTGACAGTCAATCAATTAATCTGTCGCTGGGATTTGGTGTGCGTGTTTACTCAGTGTCATCGTTCCCTCCGCGCCCACCCCACCCCTTTGACGTGCCCCGTGAGATAATGAAAAAAGTATATTCAATTAATTGAATTGAGTATCGTTAAGAGTGAGCTGCTCAGGGTAATATTTTTTATAAAGTTTTAATTCAGCGTAGAAGGGGAATTTGATTCAATTTGTTTACGCGTCCCTTCCCGTATCAACAGTAGTGATTTAATGCTATTTTTTTGTTTTTCTTTCTCAGATCGGCAAATGTACTCGAATATTCGTCAACGATAACTGAGCTGAATTGGTACTGCCTTTGACAAGCATTATCATTTAAACAGCTGTAGGAATTACTAACGGAATAAATCTTCTATCTATGGTAAGTAATGTTTTTGGCTCGACATCAAAACCTTTCAAAAACTGTACACTAGGTTTGTGGACTGCATCTTATGGATGCCTACGGGAACTAACAGTTTCGACAAATTTGACAAACTTACTTCTTGAGAATCACCACTTTCCTACAGCCATTTATCTTTACGTTTATGCTACGTGAAAAATCATACCTGGAAAAACCCGGAAAGTCAGGTAATGTCGGGGAATTCTATTTATGATCTGGAAAGTCAGGGAATGTCATGGCATTTTAGTAGGTCAGGGAAAAAAAAAATTATTTTTGATTTATTCCAGTCAATTTAACGTTGACATTGAAACGAACCAAAATAGCCGAATTGAGTATTTTGGGTTAAAACACAAATTTTGTGTTGTTTCATTTGGCTGTTTTCTCTTTCGCTTTGTTCAGAACAATAATCAGGCCTTCCTGATTTTGTAAGTGTAGTTGGTCCTTTACTAATTTGCCAGGGGTATGCTGTGATTGTCAAATCCAATATAATTATAACCTTATATAACGCGTCTACCTCACATTGATTTAAGTATTTTGCTTTTTGGTACCCACTTTCTAGTTCGTTTACCCCAAAACTGGTGCAATGGGGCAAAGAGCTCGTTGAAATGACTGTTATATAAAGAATGTTTTTCGACAGTCAAATCACTGCTAAGCTTCAGCTAGGACGTGACCTGGGCATTGCTCCGTACTATAAAGCAGTGCTAATCGCTGCGTTTATGGAAGCCCTTGCCAGTATCTCTTCGAACAAGTTGCTGCAAGTGTCCATGGATGGTCCCAAAAAGGTGGCGAGAAGCTGATAGATCTGGGAAGCTGTGGGCTGCATTTTTTGCATAATGCATTCAAGGATAGTGTTCGCAGTATCAGTTGGGATGTTGTCAAATATTTGCGTGGTATCTACAATATCTTCAAAGATGTACCAGGAAGACGAGCGTTTATCACGTTGCATTCTGGATCAACCATATTCCCGTTAAAGTTTTTGCGGTCACCGTTGGTTGGAAAATAGTGGTGCTGTTCAGAGGGCAACCGAAATTACTCCGCAAATACGAAAATCTATTCAAGGCGTCCATAAAGACAAAATTGAACCAACGTCAGCTTCCTACCAAGATGTTAAAAACTGGTCGAATGACTCGCTGCTGATGGCTAATAGTACGTTCAGACTACAGATTTATAACATGTTATAGCACTATCTTGATGGTGGTTTCTGTTTTGCAATTATTTGACAACCGTTATAACATGTTATAACTTTGTAGTCTGAACGTGGTATTAAGCTAGCTTTCTTCAAATCAGTTGCTGTCGAAGTTGAGCCATTTCTATGTGAATTTCAGACGGACAACTCTATGTTATATTGTATATATTGTACAACGCGATGTCTCAAATGGTTAGAGGCATTATGGAAAGGTTCATTAATATTGATCATCTGAACAATATTGCACAGGTAAATGCACATTCGATCAATATGATCGCAAAAAGGAACGACTGGACGTTTTTTGGCACAGGTTATTGGTCGGCGTATTCAGAACTATTGTTGGTTATGAAAATGATTTGCTGCTTATCGCATGGCAACGCCAATGCAGAGAGAGGTTTTTCGGTAAATGCAGAATATCTTTTTGAAAACATGAGGGAAGAATCAATGCCCAAGCGCAATGACAGCGGAACGGCAGTGGTAGCGGAAAAGCCCGATCTGAGTAAGCCTACTTGTCGGATTGAAAACTAGTTAGAATTAAATCGACTGCGGTTAGGCATCTTGATGTCATTTGTGACAATTGTCAAACTTGCCGTTTCCGTTCCGCTTCCGCCCACATTGCGTTCGGGCCTTCAGTCGTAGGACGGTTTTATGTTATGTATGACCATTATACATAAGGTTAAAACTTTATCACACAAACGTTCATGTGAAGTTCCATAACCATTTCAGTTAAAGTTTAGCAGGAATTATAAACAATTTTTAACAATTTTCTGTAAGGTCAAGTTATGGTTCACGTTCATGCGGGTAATCCTACTTTCAATTAAATCAATTGATTACTGATTTTGCATTCATAATGTTTGACTGCATACGGGTCTGGTGTAAATGGTTAGCATCCATGCTTCTCGCGCCGAAAGACTTGAGCTTAAATCTCACCTTAGGCTAGTCACGAATGACTTAAAATGTGTTAGACAAAACAAATACACAATAGTCGTTAGTTCAACGACAGATGAACTTACATCAAATTTAAACAATAAATTAACAGCAGAACTTCAAGTTAAGTTGCTTTCATTTAAAAAGTCTTTACTTCATAATGAAAGCACAATATGATATCAGACTTCTGTCGCGACAATTGAAATCAAACTGAGTTTTCATTATGATAGGAACTGCAAACTTTAATATCGGTTTGCTTTCATTTAGTTAACCGACCTTAATCGGGTAGTAGATATAGAAATTAACACACCTTGACTAATTCGTTTGGGCTATTTGCTACAACATATAAAGATTGTACTCGAAAAAAAAGCAACACTTTCTTTTGTGTATAACTTTTTATTGCATGGGTAAAAATTAATGAAATTTTGAGTAAAACTAGTTTACATGTTTACATGTGCAAAATCTCGCCACAATCTGTCAAGTGGTTATCGCGATCAATGACATTTATATAAGGTCCGGGCCAACAGGCAGCTAGCTGGTGTTAGAAGCAAAAATATTATAAACATTGCTGAGCACTCAAGTGACGACGTCACTTTACCATAACATTCCATACTGCGAACAGTGAGATTTACGTCACTGCCAACAGCTGTTTCGTATAAAAAAATTAACATTGCAATGAAATACGAACACCACTAAACATTTGCACATTTCACTAACACCAATAAGCCTGTTGGCCCGGACCTTATATAAATGACATTGTATCGCAATGGCTTCCAAGCAAGAAGTGCTTCGACAAAAAATTATGGGAGCGGTCGTGGAAAGTCCAGACCAGTCCCACAGGTGGATCGCGAAACAGTTTGAAATCGACAAATCGACCGTGTCCCGTGTGGTAAAATCGTTTAAGGATACCCAGACGACCCAACGGCGATTAATTCAAGTTCAATCCGCACCTTTTGATTCGGGACGTGGCCAAGAAAGTCAATTCTTCCATTCCATTTCTTCAGGACCTTCTAGTCTTAGAGTTACCTCTATGGCTATACTACGTACAGACTATGGCTTATACCATGTAAGTGCTCATTGCAAGACAGCCTATATTACATGATATAAACCATAGTCTGTACAGGATATTAAGTTCTAAACGAAAACCACTAGGGATTTGACTTGAATCAGTATGACTTGATTGTATAATGTGTAGCTTTCAGACGTTATGTTTAAATTTGTATGATTAGTTTTGCTCTAAACTAAATTGACACCTATTCTGAGATACCCTGTAATATCCATGGGCAACATCAGCTGAGTCGGGATATTGGGAAAAATGAAGACATTTTAAAATTGCGATGGAGTGGCGCACGGGGTATTGAAACACGAATATTATGGACTATGCATGAGTCTCGGAGTTTTTTCGTCGAAATTTAGGTCAGCGAACGGGGAAAATCGGGATATAACAGGGAATTTGACAACTAACCGGGAAAACCGAAAAAATATCCGATAATTCGGAAAAAATCAATAAACCTTAATATATGGCAGAGGCTTCGCGTGCCTCATTTTTACCTGTGCACCAAACTTTATTCGTTACATAGGGAAAATGGCTCTAATGTTGGCTTATGGATTTAAAATTGGGCCCATCGATAAAAATCTGCTATTTATCAATTTTATCTAGATGAACGCGTCATTGGGACGGTTCAAATGGATATTTTTGGTCGCTATTGAAAATACACGTCCAAAGCCTACCAGACTGCTGTTTCCGTGTTGCTCCCGTTTAGCGCGTGCTTGCTTGAAAGTTTCAATTAATAGCGAATTCGTTTTTTAATTCAGTTTCAACCTGGATCGGGTATCAAGATTGGGTTTTGCTTGTTTTCTGATAAACGTCAGTTTGATCCTTTGTTTTTCAAACCTACCTCAGGTTGAGGTTCACACTGACAAAAAAAAAAGTTCGGTTTCACACTGGGTTGGAACTGGTTTCACTGATATATGGTCAATTAAATTATAAGTTGTAACATTATTTTTTATAAAGTTTGTAAAAATTAAGCTCGTGTAAATCGTTGATTGTTCTGGAAGTGATGAAGGGAGCGCTTATTTCACCACATCCACAAATCGCCTGCCAGATAAGGAACATCTTTGAAAATTTCAACATTCTCCGGAACATCGAACTTAGACTTGGCAACGAAATATTCTTGCACAGGAAGTTGACGAAAGTTTCGGCATCCATCACGATGCAACACGATTTGGTGAGCAACTTCGTGTAAAGTTTCCGGGCGCGGTTTTTCGAAGTGATGTTTTGCTTTTCATTACGGTTTGGGGCTTTATGCACCTTGTAAACATGTAACCCAGCATGCTTCATGGTTTTCTGTACAAAACCGACTGACACCTTGGACTTTTAGCGACATCTCGAATTGACATGTTTGGACGGTTCTTGAACTGTTGCACTTCTTTCCTGGCAATTTTATTGTCCATTGGGCCACTTTTACGACCACTCCTTTTCATCCTTCGGGCACTCAGACGCCCCTTGAAGGTTCTCATAACACGAGACACAGTTGTATTTGCAATTCCAAGCTTTTTAGCGATCCATCTCTGGATTTTGATTGTAAGTGCACACAATATTTTCACGGACAATTTCTTGTTTCGATGACATGACTGGAACTACTGTATCAATAACTATGAAACTTAACATATGTAAACAATACACTATGAATAAGATTTACTCCAGTTTTCAGTTTTTTTACTCATACAGTTCAAAAGATTTTTGGTGTGCAATTTTTATCGAATATACCCTTTACCGTCAAAACCATCAATGAAATCACGTAACTTTTACGTGAAAATATGGCACGCTTCTTTCAATGAAAAGGGGATAAATCTATCGTAGAATCATGTAGTTCTTACGCGAAGAAAGGGATGGATGAAAGCTACCTAAATTTTTAACGTAACTCCAACGTGATTTTTATTTTAGTGGGTGTATCCTTGATTAGAGAGTATTTCACATTTTCCACCAAACTAAACTGGCGCGTTTTCAGTTAATAAAAAGTGTGATAAAAGTACACATTTACGTTAAATCGTATAGTAAATGCTCCGAAGATAACAAAACGATTCAATGCAAACGAGCACTTATTATACTTTTTGCGTTGTTGGAGCAGTCCAGTTTTAGTTGCAACTAGAGAGGGCCTAGTATAAGAGAGGAGCGGTTCCAAAACAAACTGCCTTGGCAACCTAGGCCTAGGTGATTTCTAGCAACACTGCCAATACAATCAAAATAGGCGCTGCTCAATTGGCTCTGGCTTTGACAGTTAGTTTGGCTCAATACCAGCCAATCCGCTCCTCTCTTATACTAGACCCTCTCTACACTGAAACAAATCGACATGTACCGTTTGTTGGATCCATCTTATAACATAGCAATGTCAGCAGATTTATTCATTCTATGTGATGATTGATAGATTCCATTGGATTATCACTTAAAAACTAGCGCCGGTGGTGTAGTGGTAAGCGTGATTACCTCTCACCCCAGCAGGCCTGGGTTCAATCCCAGTCGGCGCCGCCGGGACGTTCTGAGGCATAACATCTCTGATCACGCCTTCCTTCGGAAGGGAAGTAAAGCCGTTGGTCCCCGGTTCATTAGTTGATGGGTCGATAGGTAGGGTCCAGGTGTGGGAGCTGCCTCCCTGGCGTCGGTAGCATTGGTGCTCAGCACGGAAAACAAGATCGACGGAAAAAACAAAACCAAAGGAAAAAAAAGGTAACACAGCATGTCCAAGATTCTCCAGCTTATAGAAAGGTGTTATCAAATGCAAAACCAAAGAAACAACCATAGCAAAAAAGGTTTTCTTCCATTTAATTCCACTCAATGAATTTTCGTAACCATCCATCCAGTGCTCCGTGTCCACAAACCTGGTGCAGTTCTCTTCTAACTGTCTGCGATGCATGGATTCAGGATGGCAAGTCGATGCTGCGTATATGGATCTAAAAGCTGCATTTGACACGGTGGACCATAATATCTTGCTGGCCAAGCTGGAGATACTTGGCATCTCGTCAACTGCTGTGGATTGGTTCAGATCTTACTTGATGAATCGCTATGTACATGTCAAGATTGGCGCGTCGGAATCGGATGTTTTCTCAAACAACTCGGGAGTTACGCAAGGCAGTAACCTAGGACCGCTACTATTTTCGATCTTTTTAAATGACATCGCCTTGCTGATACCATCAGGATGCCGCGTTTTCTATGCAGACGATACGAAAATCTATTAAATTATTAAAAGCCTCTCGGACTGTTGGGATCTCCAGAACATGTTAGGTATTTTTGCTGACTGGTGCTCAAGAAATTTGATGAGTCTAAGCATAGAAAAATGTAACATTATTTCCTATCACCGAAAAATCGAACCAATCATGTTTGACTATGTTCTCTACGGACGCTGTCTTGCTCGTGTAGAGCACATAAAGGACCTAGGACTGCAGACTCACTTTCAGAATCCACTACAATGACATCATCTCCAGAGCTAATCGACAATTGGGCATTATTTTCAAAATTGTCGACGAGTTTCGTGACCCGTTCAGGTCACTTTACTGCTCGCTTGTGCGATCCTTATTGGAGTCAAGTTCAGTTGGTTGGTGCCCTTTCCATGCTAGCTGGATCACTAGAATTGTATCCGTTCAATGCAAGTTTGTGAGATATGCTCTTCGTTTCCTCAACTGGCGTGACCTACCGAACTTGCCACCGTACGAGGAGCGTTACCGTCTCCTGGGAATCGAGCCATTAGAGGTGAGACGGACGGTCGCTCAAGCTATGTTCGCTGGAAAGCTGTTTACGGGTGACATTGACTGTCCAACACTGCTGTCACAGCTAAATATGTATGCCCCTGAAAGGTCTCTTCGTCAACGCGACTTTCTGTTTATGGAACCACGGAGCCGGAATTATACACAACACGATCCGATTCGAGCAACTTTTTTATATGTTCTACTTCAATGTATCAGCTGACGTGTTTCGTCATCGGCTACTTGGCTTTTTCCGTACCGTTGACCGTAACTATTTAGTTTAAGTTTTATTCATTTAGACAATAATTGTCAGTTGAATTTTTCAATAAACAATAAACAATAAACAATTACTCTTTCTATATAGTGCAAAAATACTACATAGGGAAAATGGCTCTAATGTTGGCCTATGGATCTAAGATTGGGCCCATCGCTAAAAATCTGCTATTTATCAATTTTATCTAGATGAACGCGTCATTGGGACGGTACTAATGGATATTTTGGTCGCTTACTGAATTTATGTATGGGCCCAAATTAGGGGCATTTAGGCCGACATTACATCCATTTCCCCTATACACCGAATATGAACAACAGAGCTCTCTTTTGTTCGTATCTGGTATAAATATAGTATTTCACACTGTGTTGCAAAAGTTATAGAACGTTCTTAAAAAAAACACGGTGAATGGCTTCTTGGCGGTACATACTTGAAAACTCGTTCTAAAAGCTGGCCTTCTCTGAGTGGGAACCTAGTCTCTTATGGCAGTTTGACCAAACATTGTTTGGAATAAGGCCATTTAGCATAAGCCCGTTTGGAATAATGGTTATTTGGTATAAAGTTGTTTGGCACAATGGATTTTTCCTTGTTTTAAACATGAGTAGTTCTTTCGAGTTTTACTGTTCTTGATTTTGTGCGTCAATATGTTAATATGTTAACCTATTATGGCAAACGACCATTATGCCAAACGACTTAAGGCCAAACGTAGCACAATCTCCAACCGGTATTATCCTCGGATTAAATCTCGATCACGCCCCGTAACGTAGGTAGATCACCTTTTCGTGGTACGTTACGGGATGTAAGATCTACCACCGATTCCTAGTCCTGACTTCTTCAAACTAGGGAAACAGGATTTTGCAGTAATCAAAGGAACACATCTTAGTCCTTGTTAATTTTTATGCCCTGTTGATAGTGATAAGTCCTCGGGTTGCCTGGACCGAGGATGATCTTGAAACAAGGAAAAAATGAGTTAGTTAGTCTTCACCGATGTGATTCCAAATCTTCTAATCGTTGTTCCCTAGTTTGAAGTGGTTCAGAATAGGGTTCATGGTCATTATCGGTGTCATAGCTTGTTTTTGTTGTTAACGAATCCAATTTTGACTGACAAAGGGGCGCGCCTTTGGAGGGTGTTCCAACTCCGAAGGGTATAAATAGCGGAACCTTTCAATTAGAATCGATTCCTTGCGATGAAGGCAAGAATGACAACTGTATCAAAACCGAATACTTCATCATTTCTCAATAGTGATGGAGTAATACGACATGCACTAAACTAAGGACATGAGATATACTACAATAGATCAAATTACTGGTCGCAGTAGTGTTATGTCCCGAACAGAGGAAAAAAATCCCGATCACGAATGTTGTCGACGTCGATGTTAATCAATACGATCCTTAACAAACATGTAGTAGATTCTTCAATCAGGGCCGGTTTTAAAAGTTTATCCGAGATGGAGCTTACCGGCGTTAATACTCATGTTTATTAAAAAAAAATCCCTTTCCCGCGTTCTAATAATTGTATTCATTGCCTTATACATACGTGATGCTTATACATATCTTATTCCATTTCATGGTCAACCGAAGACATTCTCCGCCACGCGCTGATATAGGTCAGTTACGCAGCGAACGCGGTATAGCGTATATGCAGGTCTCTCAGTGTGCTGTCGACTATCGTACAACCGAAGACAATCATCATATCTCCTTTTCCCTTTCTGGTTGTGTCCAAATGTGTCTCACGCCGCCCAATACACACATCCCGCCCCGAGACAACCGATAATGATACCGTCCGATTGACGTCTTATCTTATTATATTATTCTCCTCGACAGTAAACTCTTTCGAGTTGCTCTAGTCAGCATCGGAACGCGCGCGAAAGAGTACATACATACGCAAACGGTAAGCGTTTTAAATTCCCCCGAAAAGAAATAAGCACGCGGCCGGCGAGAGCCAAGGAAGAGTATTGCAAAATGCCGAACATCGTTCAAGATCATCCTATCGGTAAACAGAGGCTGGCGAAAAAGTTTACCCGTTTGCAAGGTATTTATTCCATATGGAAAGAGTGTTATACGGCTTTATCGGCAATTAAAACAGCCGCCATTCCCCTGCGTAGCTCTGTTTCACTCATTGTAACACGTAACGTGCTTGCCAATTACATGTATCTATATAGAACACTCATCCCGTTCCCTTGTTTGTCCAGCAACAAACAGTCTGTCTGCTAGTTGATCCGATTGAATGAAGAGAACAGCATACGGTGAATGCACTAATTTTACTAATTCATGTCGCGTGATGACGATAGCGGAAAAGCGCCCCAATGAACAATAAACCCACCGTGTGCGCGACATACACATTATCGCTTGGTTATAACACTGATAACAGCACTGGAAAATGTCGTATCTTATCAACAAATAGTAATCGACGGTGTCGTGCACAGTCGTCAGAGCTGGATTCGTTGTGACGTAAATTCGCTCTCGGGAAGCAAAAACCGACCACCAAAGGAGGGATGCTTCGCCTAATACATACCTACGTTTGCATGCAGTGATACTATTTGTGTACATCCATAACATTCAATAATCTCTGGCTTGATAGCTGATAAATTTAGATTCAGCAGATATGTAGTAAGTACCCTAATTGCCGTTTTATGTTCTTATCTCTTCCGATCCCAGTGTTGAGCATTATCAAACAATTTACAATGGATAAAATGAAGGAATCGGCTGCCGGTGAAAGTGGCGTCGGGGGAGGCGGCGGTGGCGGCGGAGGAGGTACAGCGGCGAGCGACGAATTTCACAGTGAATTTTACAATACGGGACGCATAGGTCGACGGAACGCACTACCAGATATTCTAGGATCACACTGTACCACCACGACAGCTGATCTGCCGACGCAGATGGGAGCGCTGAGTACCTCCGGTAAGTGGATTCTGTACAGTCAAAGATATCGCGTTCATTTAGCAGATAAATATAGAATTCATTGTCGAACAACGGTATCTCAGTCGTAATAATTATAACTGACGTGTGTTTGCGAATACGTATAGCAGACGCAGTATATTATCAGTAGATCGTTTTGATCGATTCACGTTGTCTTCGCATCGGCAGCTTTTGTTTAGTGAGCGGTCGAAACAGATCGCGACAAACTTGTGGTCTCTTTTAAGGCGTTCATTCGTACTTCAAGTTGCTTGTGCTGGTTCGAGCTGTTCATTCAGCCCTTTGCCGTTCATTGGAACAGCTCGCACTATTCAGTGCGAGTAAGTTCTAGCAGGTCGAACTCGGTCGTTTGACCTCGAGGATTTCAGAGAAGAACAAGGACAAACGACTCTACTTCCAATTGTTTTTTTTACAGACATTCTGTCGCAAAAATTAAGAAAATTATAAATCGGATCGAACGGGTGTTCATTGCACGGGACTGGCATCAAATATTTACACTATGGGATTTCATAAATTTTACAGTATCCTCTTACGCTGTGTTCCATTTGGTGGATTATTTTAACTTTTGGTTAATATTTGACAAATGGAAAGTTATCGATTAACCCTGCTATCCGAGCGTGGTTACTTCTGACAGACAAGAAGTTACATGTTGACAACTGTGGCTGAGTTCTTCTCTTTTTTAGGTTTTCCACAGGAAACCATGAGACAAATTATACTCATCGCTGAGTTCCTGCACTTTTGGCGATTATGAGTGAACTAAACTCAAATTTGGGTCGTTCTCATTCGCCGTGTAGGTTCATTGACTTCTCGACGCAAGATCTCACTAATGCAACCTACACGAATAGAAATCTCCTTATACCTTTTGGCAAATTTCTATTAAAATGTATAAGTCAACTAATAAGCAGACGCCTTGCAAAAAAAATAATGAAGCTCATGTGTCAAATGAAATGTATAAGCGGTCACACATACCTTTCATGCATTGTTATAGGACCTATGTGGTTTGTCTTATGAAATGTAAGTAGATGTGAGAAATGAAAGAAGATTTTTAGAAGATTGATTCGCTAGTGTGAGATTTGTTGAGCATCTAGACTTGAGATTTAGATGTGTCGCTCCCCTCGAAAAATGTATAAGTGAAACACATGAATAAAATGATTGATTTTCGTTTCGTGTAGCTAGTGTAACCGTGTAAAATCGATTTGTTTATTATTTTCAACGACGAAATCAGCTGTCAAAGTGTTCGCCTTGACAGCGGTTTGTTTTTTATTTTCAACCAGTAAAACGCATGTATTAGTGAAACTGCTCACTAATACTAACGCTGATAGAGAACTCTATTGAGCCAAGCAGGTCCAACACAATGACGTTTATACACTGAAAGGAATTTTGCAGTAGAAATTACTATATTGATTTCTCGACGCAAGATCTCACTAACACAACCTTGCTAGAGTATTCGTGTCAAATCGATTTGTTTAATATTTTTAACCACGAAATCACTCTGGTCACGTCATCCTTCGGAAGGGAAGTAAAGCCGTTGGTCCCGGCCCATGTGTGTTGAATGGGTGCGATATCCTGTGTGGAAGCTGCCTTCCTGCACATTCGAATGCCGTCAATGGATGGCAATCGATGTCCGTCGGTGATTGGCACTAGATTGCGGAACAGAGACCGACGTTAAACAAAGGAAAGAAGAAGAAGAATATTGTACACTGATAAATTGAACTATTCCCATTTTGCTTGAAATTTAATCAATTTGACATTAAACTCAGTTTAATCATATCGAATGATTAAAAATTAATCCTCGCTTTCTAAAAAATAAGCATCTGATATTAGTCCCAGTTTAATCATGGTTGAATAGATTGTAGATTATTTTAATCATTTTAGATTCTATTTTAATAATTTTTGATTGAATTTTAATCTTTTTTGATTATATATCAGTATTGAAAAACAATAAAATTTAATACTGGAAAGATTATTTCGATTTTAATCATGCATGACTATTGCCGAAGTAATCATGGCTCGGACTCAATAAGGTGAAGCGGGAAACTGCATACTTTTAAAGCATTTATGATTTAATTTATCTTTGAGTGTATATGGAAATTTTTGCTAAAGGGTGTCCACGATTAAATTGCCACACTATGAAATTGCTCTAACTTTTTAACCGTTGGGTAGAATTTAATGAAAATTTGGGTGGATTTAGTGCATTATTTACATCCTGCAAGTTTTAAAGTCCTGTGATCAAAACTCGCGGAAATGGAGTCGAAAGAACAGCTCGTGCGTGATAAAATCTTGCGCATTCATCACGAGAACAAGGATCTCTCGCATCGTTCCATCGCTAAAACGTTGGGAATCGCGAATTCCACGGTGTCGCGAGTGGTTAAGCGGTTCGAGGAACGGTTGACCACCGATCGGAAGCCCAGAAGTGAAGGAAAAAGTATTCCGTACTACACCAAAAATCACAACCGCGTAGTTGGGGCCTTCAACCGAAATCCGAACGCCTCCGTTAGGGATGTGGCTAAGAAGCTGCACCTAAGCCGATGTTTTGTCCAGAAGGCCAAAACTAAGGCTGGGCTTCGAACGTTCAAGGTACAAAAGGCCCCTAATCGCGACGTGGTGGTATGCGGACAATAAGGTCAATTTCGTGCCGAAAATGTTCAACCATCTCAACACTCCGGAGCTCCGCCCCATCGAGAAGTACTGGGCGATTATGAAGCAGCACCTTCTTAAACGACCTAAGGTAGTGAAGACAGTCGAGGAACTGAAGAAAGTATGGGTTTACATGCAAAAAACGGTTGATTCACAGGTTGTGCAGAATCTTATGGCCGGGGTTAAGGCCAAGGTGTGGGCATTTGCGTATGGACTGTAAATAAAATACGAGTAAAATGTAAAATGAAGTTTAATAATTATTTCTCAATCCCTGAAAATTTGATGGCAATCGGATGAAAACTCGAATTTTGCGAATCAATTTTGTGTGTGGCAATTTCATCGTGGACACCCTTTACACGGATAGAAATCTCCTTATACATTTTGGCAAATTTCTATTGCTGATTATTTATAAAATGTATAAGTCAACTAATAAACAGACGCCTTGCAAAAAGATATGAAGATCATGTGTCAAATGAAATGTATAAGCGATGCATAAAAAATCTTATGTGGTTTGTCTTATGGAATGTATAAGGCTGATGTTTTGGCAAAAATGTATAAGTGTATAAACAATCCTCCTCGTGTTTATTCGCGACATTCATATCACTTACGTAGGAAATCAGTTTGGAATTTTTGACCAGCATACACCTTCTGGTCGTACGAAACAGGTCCAAATCTGCCTTAATCCGCCCGTAAACGCTGTGCATTTGATTTCACAAACGTCTATTGTCTATTGAGTTCTCCAGATGCACAAAAGTGTGCGTGAGACCGCGCTACCTTTATAAGTAGTTATGATATCGCGATACCTTTTCGTTTCTTCTTCTTTTTCGTTTTTATATATGAGCGGTTCCACGAACAAGTGGGAAATTTTTCCAGTTTTTATTTTTTGTATTTTTTGATTTGCATGAAACCTTGCATACAAGTTTTTGGGGAAGAAAAACGCCGTTTTGCATACTGGTTCGCCATTTTGAATCTAGCCTTACTTATGAGAAGGGCCTATGAAAAATGCACATGATATCTTCAAAAAATTGTATCTCGGAAACGGTTTGTCCGATTGGTTTGGTGTCTTGGGCGAAGTTTTAGACAATTGTTGGTGTTATATGGAAAAAATATGCACGGTAAAAAAAAAGTTTGGTATTTGTGTTTTGAACTAAAATATAAATTTTCCCTTTAAAGTGACATGTCAATAATTTTTTTATTATCCTTATGTTATAGCTGACTGAAAATGCTATCTAGTGCACAGTAGGTTGTTCTGGAGAAAAATAGGTTACAATGAAAAAAATTGTTTTTTAAAAAAATACAATTTTCAAAAAAGCTATTAAGAAAAGTCAAAAAAGTTTGTCACCCTAATTTTATGAAAGTACATCAAATTTTCAAACAAAAAGTACTTCGGTAACATTTTTCTAAGATGCACCGTTTAGAAGATATTACTGATTTAATATTGTTTTTTTTTATAACTTAATAAGTTTTGGCCCTTTTCGGATGTACTCCGTGTTTTTCTAGTTTCAAAAGTATTTTTTTCGGAAAGATTGGAAAATTTTGAGTTAAAATGACACTGACAGCTTAAAGATTCGAGTAAAATTCTCTGCCTTAAAAGTATTTTGAAAAACAAGTTACAAAATCCCACTATCAGGAACAATGATTTCTTCAAATGATTTTTGGTGCGTTGTGCTGAAAACGTGCTAACAAGTATTAGATACAGGTAATTTTTAGCTATTTGTGACTTTTCTGAAAATTACAGCTTCGTTTTGCAGGATGAAGTTCAATCACACCATTGGAACGTGCAACAGGCCACAATCCATCCTTTCGTAATATATTATACTGAAAATATGCAAATTAAACATTTTAGCTTCATTATAATTTCTGAAGAACTAAGACATGATTCAGTCGCTGTCAATTTGTTTATTGATAAAATGATAAACTTTTTACAAATTGATCAAAATAAAAACATAAAAAAAAATTATTTTATGTCAGATGGTGCTGCTTCACAGTAAAAAACCGAAAAAAAATTTTTCTAGCCTTTGTAAATTTAAGTCAAAGTATGGTATTGACGCTGAATGGCATTTCTTCGCAACATCGCACGGAAAAGGTCCATGCGATGCTATTGGAGGTACGATAAAACGCATGGCTACCAGAGCAAGTTTAGCCAAAGAACGCGAACACCCGATAAAGACTGCAAGAGAGTTGTTTAATTGGGCAAACAAACGAAAAGAAGAAGAACTTACAAAGTTGTCATTTTGTTATTCTACTACAGAAGAATACGAAAATATGTCTTTGCAGCTAAATAATCAATATAATAATGCAAAAACAATTCAAGGAACTCTAAAATTCCACTCATTTCTTCCTCTATCAGAAAATACAATAAAGGCAAAGCTTTATTCAAACTGTCCTGACAATGATGCCAAAATATTCAATATTGTTAAGAAAGTTGTGTAAACAATAATTTTATAAAAATACAGGAATAAAAATAAACTGATGATATCCAACATATAATGTTATTTTTTATTGCACACAATCACCATCCCTGAAAAATAAGCTTAATTCGCTCTTTTGAATCTTGCTAATTGAGGAGCTTACATTTGCAGTTCTCAAAAAGGTGTATCTCGAAATCGAGTTGTCTCATCGGTTTGATGTCTGTGGCGATGTTCGGCAATAGAGAGAAAATATGCACAGTATAAACACATCCAGTTTAAATGGATTAAACTGTTAGGCGATATGCAAGAGTTGAATGCACATTTTCAGCACAACGCACCAAAAATCACTTGAAGAAATCTTTGTTCCTGATAGTGGGATTTTGTAACTTGTTTTTCAAAATACTTTTAAGGCAGAGAATTTCACTCGAATCTTTAAGCTGTCAGTGTCATTTTAACTCAAAATTTTCCAATCTTTCCGAAAAAAATACTTTTGAAACTGGAAAAACACGGAGTACATCCGAAAAGGGCTAAAACTTATTAAGTTATCAAAAAAAAACAATATTAAATCAGTAATATCTTCTAAACGGTGCATCTTAGAAAAATGTTACCGAAGTACTTTTTGTTTGCAAATTTGAGGTACTTTCATAAAATTAGGGTGACAAACTTTTTTGACTTTTCTTAATAGCTTTTTTGAAAATTGTATTTTTTTAAAAAACAATTTTTTTCATTGTAACCTATTTTTCTCCAGAACAACCTACTGTGCACTAGATAGCATTTTCAGTCAGCTATAACATAAGGATAATAAAAAAATTATTGACATGTCACTTTAAAGGGAAAATTTATATTTTAGTTCAAAACACAAATACCAAACTTTTTTTTTACCGTGCATATTTTTTCCATATAACACCAACAATTGTCTAAAACTTCGCCCAAGACACCAAACCAATCGGACAAACCGTTTCCGAGATACAATTTTTTGAAGATATCATGTGCATTTTTCATAGGCCCTTCTCATAAGTAAGGCTAGATTCAAAATGGCGAACCAAGTATGCAAAACGGCGTTTTTCTTCCCCAAAAACTTGTATGCAAGGTTTCATGCAAATCAACAAAGATGAAAATTACTCGTTGCTTTAATGATATGGAACCGCTCATATGGATGTTGGATTTTAGTGTTCTTGAGATTACGCTTGAAGATCTCTGTTGAGTTCTGAAAGCCGGATCTCACAAACACTACACTAATAATATAATTAGGCGATTGTTTCGGGGTTTGAAGCTAAATGTTAACTTCGTTCTATTTGTTTTGAATACACCATCCTGCCCAGTGCTGTAAAATATCAACTATACATGGCGATATTTACATAACAGCTTTCGTCACTCACTGACCCGCATAAACGCGAACCATCACATGACCTTACCGATAATGGTTATAAATTGTTTATAATCCCTGCTAAACTTCAACTGAAATGGTTATGGAACTTTACATGAACGTTTGTGTGATAAAGTTTTAACCTTATGTATTATGGTTTTTTGGAAGCGGACCTTACAAATAATGGGTTGTTAAGAACCATTACCATTCCAAATTCTTGTTTTCTCCATAGATTTTCGGAAAGAGAACTATATTAGAACGTTTTTACTTATGGTTTGAGAACATTAATGGTTATGGTTATGGTAGTCAGTAAGGTCCATTAATGGTTTTGTATTATCGCTCAACTTTACGTGAAATATATCGTGAATTGGTAATCAGTAATTTACAGGCAACCAATTCGCGATATATTCCACATAAAGTTGATCGATGTTATAAAACCATGCATGGACCTTACTGGTTACCATAACCATTACCATTAATGTTCTCAAACCATAAGTTAAAAGGTTTTAGTATAGTTTTCTTTCCGAAAATGTATGGAGAAAACAAGAATTTTGAATGGTAATGGTTCTTAACAACCCATTATTTGTAAGGTCCACTTCCAAAAAACTATAATACTTAAGGTTAAAACTTTATCATTAAACGTTCATGTAAAGTTCCATAACCATTTCAGTTCAAGTTTAGCAGGGATTATAAACAATTTTAACCATTTTAGGTAAGGTCAATTTATGGTTCGCGCTTATGCGGGGAGCTGACAATGTAGTCAGTGACGAACATGTGCAGTTTTTGTTATTATCTAAATTTGTAACGTAATTAAATGACTTAAGCAAAATAAATCCATGGAGCCGTAACCGCCTTAGATAACAATCATGTTTTATTATTTTAACTTTTGTAATTAGTCTATGACAAAAGCGATTCATAATATACTTTCGTGTAATTTGTACCACTGGTTGATTATTTCGAGTTCTGTACTTTAATACGGCACCATTCGCACTTTATTTAAATTTTTTTGATTTTGAATCTTAATATCAACCAATAGATTTAAAAACATTCAGATTACTAAATTTGATCAAGATATCAAAATAATAACTAATTTAGTTTTTGAATTGTTTGTTACCATAGTTATAAGAACCTATTTTTTTGACTATATGTTTAGTATTACTTCTGCGTGAAGTCAACGATTTACATAGTTGACGATGCTAGTTTTGAATAACTGACTGAAGTGGTAATTTTTATACGATAGATGAGGAGGAGATGAAAGTATAGAATTGATAGTTCCGTTTAGATTACGGCGGTATGAAAATTGCATATAGAAAAGTAGATAGCGAGCTAGGACAACTTTTAAGGAAGGTACAAATCGGTTTTATCATCTCTCTTTACCAAACTCCCCCTTTGGAGAGGGATGGTGAGGGATGTCCCCCCCGCCACCACTGGCAAAAAGAGATGATCGCCGATCGCTCAAGTACCAACGATGTGTTTCAAACAGAGATGATAAAACCGATTTGTACCTTCCTTAAAAGTTGTCCTAGCTCGCTATCTACTCTTCTATATGCAATTTTCACACTGCCGTAATCTAAACGGAACTATCAATTCTATACTTTCATCTCCTCCTCATCTATCGTATAACAATTACCACTTCAGTCAGTTGTTCGAAATTAGCATCTTCAACTATTATTTTGTTTATTATTAACGAAATTACTAATATCAAAACGCATACATGGATTTGTTATCAAGAAAACATTATTTGTTATCTTTTTAATATCCTTCATATACCATTTAGATATCATTTTTGTTATGATTACTGTTAACTCGACCACACGGTAGGCAAAATATGGTATCACGAGCGCTTATATCAAAATATCAAATTTAGTTTTTATTATGTTTTCATTCTCTGCTCGGGAAGTGCTGCTATATTTTCTCCTGCTCGGGAAAGGATTAATGAACATGATATTAACGATATTTAAATGAGAAATTCGTATACCCAACGTATTAATTTACATCCTTGAATTACAGATTGTTCCAACAAACCCACCATCACGCCATCTGCAGGCAGTGGCAGCACAATGATCACCAATACCCCAACGACTCCAGCCACAGGAAGTGGTTCCTAAAATTAGCTCTCCATTCACCATACAATTACAAAAAAACAAAAACAAAAAGAATATATCTCCGATCTGTGCGCAACGCTCGAAATCTGAAACCTTCTGGGCTGTAGTAGCTAAATAGCAATACGGCTAAGTTCTTCGGTTTTAACCCATACTCCCGGCTAATCCCAGCATCCAATCTCACGTGGTGTGGTCCAATTTTGCGATTATTAGTTCATCGATTGTATAAAGGAGAAACCAGTTTTATTTTTGCAACCGAAAGATCTCGTTTAGCTAGAAAGGGCCTGTTCATAAACTACGTAGACAGTTTTTTGGGATTCTTGACCCCCCCCCTCCCCCTGCGTAGACAATTGTCCATACAAAAATTTTAAAATTTGTATGGGCCGTGGATAATTGCCAACCCCCCCCCCCCCCTAAACTGTCTACGTAGTTTATGGACAGCCCCAAAGCAGTGAGGTATTATTGACGCTGAAATGCAAACCCGACTGAATGAGCTTCGAAACACAACAAACACACAAACAAAACAACAAATAAACAACCAAGCAAAACATCACAATGGTCATTGATCAAAAGTATTGTGCATTACTTCTTTACTAGCGTGTACTGTGACTACCCATGTGTTTGACGACCAAAGATTTTTCACACCTTTTGAATCGGCAATTTAAAGCGTAGGTTCCCTGAGCTCCGTGTTACGGAATGAATAATAAGTGCAGTTACGATATAGTGAATATGATGAATTAGCGATCAAAAATAGTTGAAATTATCTTTCGAAATGTTACTTTTACGTAGGAATTTGTCCCAGGCACAAAGTATTTAAGGTATAAGTTTATTACAAACCGAAACGAATTTGGCCATTGATTTTTTTTCTCTCCTGTCATTGTGATTCGACAGCACTGTCTGTGACCAAGGAGATTACTTGAACTGTATTTGAGTAGAGGTAGTTAAGTTAGGTATAAGCGCTGCAGAATGCTAGAAGCAGTATCTTGATTCTATTTAGTATCTATTTATCCGTATTTTCTTAGAGTACAAACTAGTTTGGCTAAATCTTCGTTTGTTTTACTTATTGATAGAAACATGTTGTAAGGCATCCCATTGAGTTGACTTAATTGTATTGGAAACAATGATGTGTGTTAAATTTTCATGAACCATTTTGATAGGATCGTAAAATTTTGGCTTTAATTTAGACAACAATAATTGCACTCACGCTTATTTGCACCTTATGTTCCTTAAGAGCTTAATCTATACGACAACAAGTGTAGAAATCTCGTTTAGCATAATATCGACAATTATCATCTAGTAAATTCATTCAAAATGTACTGGAAAAGAATCACCTGTCTTGCTTCGTTGGAAGTCATAATTTTGTTATGTAATCGATTTCATTAACCCCTATTTGATCGCCGATGTTATGTGGTCACATTGACTTTAGCTCTTTAGTTATTTAAGCACATTCGTTCGCTAACAGATTAAGTTTACCGCACCCTTTAGCTCTCCCGACACCAGCCCTTTTACTGAACGTAATTCGAAATTAACATACCTGGAATTATTTTTTTTCTCACTAAAGCATTCTGAATTGATAACCATTTTGAACAGAAAGTTAACGAAAACAATATTTATTACAGTAGTACTGAAAATAGTCAAGGCACACATTGTAACGCAAACGTATTAGTTTGTAAGTAAATAACAGTCTTTGAACCGTGAACCAGCCAAGACTGGTGACGATTGTTTTCATTCTCCATTGAAATCAATATAAAAGCATTTGTATCTCACCATTGATCGATCAATTCGGGAAACGAAGCGAACAGCAGATCGTTCAGAATTTATAGCATAATCGCGTGAATGTTACGGATCATTTGGCAGGATATTCCTCTTCACGAATGAGACACTTTGTAAAGTGAATTCTTTTGGATTTGTCACAAATTAAACAAAAAAAAAAAAAAAAACAATTAATCGACGGTTCCTAGCTTTGGACACAAACGAATTTCAGAATCGAATTTTGTTTTTTTTTGTGATTTTCATTTTTAATGTTTGGCATACGAAATTTAAAAGCGTTTTAGGTGAAAAATTAATAAAAAGTTCAGTTACTGATTGGAAATATAAAAAAAATCTCTGGTAGCCAAGAATACAGGACAAATAAAAAGTTTGTTAGCTTGGATGATAGTGAAAACCAATAAAACGAGTAATAATGTAACTTCAAAGTGTGTATCATAACATCTTTCTACCTTTTTCTAACGTATACATATTCCGCTGATCAAATCTTACATAATGTGTCAATTGAATTGAACAGCAAACATCAAACAAACAAGATAACACACAACAGACATTATTGAATGCCCACACCTATAATGAACTAACTTAAGAATCTTGATGAGAGTGAAACAATCGAAATTAGATGTGTGAAACAGATATGAAATGTCCACGCGATTCTGAGACAAAACACAAAATAAAACAACATGAGAGCATTTTCTGTGTTGCCACACTTAACCAACTTGACGCTATAGATACGGTTATTGTATTATTATAATTATTATTACAATTATATATTTACATGATTATTGATTATTTATTGCCGGAACAATAAAAATGAACATTATTGAATAATGCGTTTGTGAATAAATATTAAGCGTGCGCAGTTAGGCACTGCGTCCAAGGCGAAACGTTTGCAACAGTATGTGTGGTCTATAATTGAAAAACTGAGAAAAATCCTTGTTAGCATGTGTTTTGCACGCGATCCTCAAAACGTCTTGTTTTAAACAATACCTAAATGAAAGGTTGATTCCACTCCCTTCAGTATAAACTGTTTTTTTTTGGCATGATTGGGACACCTTAAAAAATTCATCACTAATCAAACAAAATTCAGTGGAAAATTCGAATGATGTTTAACCAAATGGATAGTTTAAAGCCCTATTTACATCATGAATACAAATTGAATATTAAAAGTGAAAGAAGATTTAAAAAATGTTCATTTTGTAACTGAAATTAAATCGTTGGGGTAAAATGAGCACCTTTGGTATAGACCTTGTAAACAACGGGTAAGAATATTATGTTTTCTTGAGGCCCCGTAAAAAAAATCCAATAAAAATACAATGATTTTCATTGTTATTGTAACCATTAAATTTACTGTCCGGAGGCGAACAAACTCCTGAAGGACGCCGCCGACCTAGAACTCCCCCCGGTAGCCAGGGTCTACTGGTGTGGAGCCAGGGGTTGGAACTCACCCGGACTTTCTATCGACTTGGCGATAAAAAACAGATTCCGGGCGGGAACCAACTCCCCCGCACTAGTGAGATCGGTGGCCGAACTACAACGAACCAAGTACCCAAATCACCTAGCAAGATACACTGACGGATCTCGAACAGGCGGAAGGGTAGGCATTGGGATATCCGATCCGGAGCTACGCACCTTCTACCGACTTCCGGACCCTTGCAGTGTTTTCTCTGCTGAAGCTGCCGCCATACTAGTAGCCGCCACCTCGCCTACCAACAAACCTGTCGCCATATTTTCTGATTCAGCCAGCGTATTAACAGCTCTTCAGTCCGATACAGCCAAGCACCCTTGGATCCAGGCTATCCAGAAGCTCGCTCATAAAGGAACAACTTTCATCTGGATCCCAGGACACTGCGGGATCAGAGGAAATGAGGAAGCGGATCATCTGGCGGCATCCGGAAGACAGGCAAACCTCTATACCCAAAAGGTCCCTGCTCAAGACATCAAGCGGTGGATCGTGACTACAGTATGGAATTGCTGGACAAATGAATGGCTGCGATCTCAAGATCTGTTTATCCGGAAAATTAAAGGGGATACCAGAAGATGGGATGACCCGCCTGAACACCGATCTCAAGTAATTCTATCGCGGCTGAGAACCGGTCATACCAAAGCCTCTCATAACATGGGAGGCGGAGGTCCATTTAGGAAGCAATGCGAGACTTGCAATGTGCCACATACAGTGGAACATTTCCTATGCAACTGCCCCCAGTACTATGGACCACGCATCCAATACGGGATCTCAGCAAGCGTCAGGGACACCCTGAGTTATGACCCCTCTAGCACCACAGCGCTCTTCTCATTTCTGCGGGAGACAGGATTGATCAACCAAATTTGATATATGCCCCAATATTGTGCCAAGCAACGACAACGGACAAAGGATTGAACTACTATTAGCAAAAACCACTGACTCAAAACGGACGAGCGACTATAATAAAGGGAGGTTTACTTGGATTTAAAAAAAAAATGATTTTTTTTGCATAAAATGAAAGCTACAAGTGTGTAGAATATGTGGCCAAAAGGATTTTACGATCCGAAACATATTTAGCGAGTTATGGCGCTTTGAGTGAACCTTTGTCATGCGCGCTGATGAGAAAATAATCCCAACTTAAAGTTTACAAAAACTTTAAACGCGTTTTTCTCGAAACCATATTTTTTATAACAACTTAGAGCATAGGGCTTGAACAAATGATCCGATTTACAATCGGAAAATTGCGCTTTGAAGGATACTTATATGGTACTTGTATGGCTTATACCTAAAATGAAAAAAAAAAATGTTAGTTACTATTTTTTAAGCAAGGTGAAAGTGAGAAAAAAAGGGGTAAAAAAAGCACTAAATTTTCAAATGTCCATAATTTGGTCAATTTTTGTCGGATCTAGAACGAAAACAGACAAACAGACGTAACTCTTCATTGTGTAGCTTCGTTCATGCATTTAACGGTTGATTTGAATATTATCAGTTCCGCGAACTACTCGCCGCAGCGCTGGCATCGGATCACTTTGACGTTTCTATATATTCCCCCTTATTCTGCGAGTCACGTGACTCTCTCTCACCGGTGAGGTGACAATTGTCACCTCGTGTGAGGTGACTCTCCATGCAAATCAAATGGAGAGTCACCTCACACGAGGTGACTATTGTCACCTCACCGGTGAGAGAGAGTCACGTGACTCGCAGAATAGGGGGGATTATATAGAACTTTTATGCAATATTGTTTAAGAGTTAACGAGCAAGCTTGTTTTCCGCGAGAAGCCAGAGAGATGTCGTTACTGACGTTATATGTTTTGAGATACTATGTTTTCAAGAACAAGTTTTTCAAAGAGTTACGTCTGTTTGTCTGTGGTTCTAGTTAGGTATAAACCATAGGGAATATTATCAATTTTCATTTCAGTTCACCACCAGAGGGTGTGCACTCGAAGTTCTGCAGCAAAACCTGACTGATACTCCTCCACGCGAGCCGCCATTTTGTTTTTTAACCTTCAAAAAATTTCCAAGTATTCAGGAATAGTGGACAAA